GGGAGCAGCCACTGCACTCCAGTCTGGGCAACCGAGTGAGACTCCAACTCAAAAAAAAAATGATGTGTTCCCAAAAGAGATCTGAAAGTCGGGTTTCTGGGTGCAGCCTTTCTTCCACTGGGACATGTTGGCTCCGATAGGCAGTGTTCATCTCTCTTTGTGTCAGCACTGGTCCTGGGCATGTGTCACGCTGTTTTTGAATTATTTGTTTCTGTGTCCTCCTCCTAAACAGGACCGTGAGAGCCTTAAGGACAGCAAAACTTTTATGTCTCCAGTACTGGGTCCAGGACCTGCAACTAAGGTGTTTGATGGATGCTAACTGGGGAAATGAAAGGGCCTCTGAAAACCGTCCAGAATCAAGAGATTCTTCCACTCTCCTCTGTAGGGTAGACACAGAGTAAAGATTATCAGAAGAAACTGGATTTCTCACAGAAATCACTGTGATTTGACCCAGAACCACTGGGTCAAATATGTGCTTCGAAACTTGAGGAGGACATGAACCCCAGGAAATGTGGTCAGGACTGGAACACTGGGTCCCCACCAGAAAGCCTCTCAGAGAATGACATCACAGGGAGTCACTGGAGGACAGAGACTCTTGTGAAGTTGAATTCATAGGTATGTATGTTGGGACTGTGGAGCGGGACCCTCTATTCCAAGCTTGGAAATTTGTGTTAGCTTTTGTCTTATTTTTATTATTGGGACATGGGTTTTCGCTGTTGTTCTGGAAATCGTGATGAGTGGAAAGGGGACATGGGGAAGCCTTCAGTAAAGATCTTTATCAGGATCAAAATGGTTCTGGGCAAACCACATCTTGCATGGTGTATCTAATCAGGAATAATCCCCTCTCCCTCTACATGACCCCCGGATATGGTACTGAGCCCATCCTGGGTGACAACAGTGCACCCAGTGGAAATGTGTTGGGGGCTGGAAGACTAAGGTTTGAACCTGAACCCTGCCACTCATTAACTGTGTGACCTGGGGCCAGTCACTCGCGCTCTCAAGTTGAAAAGTTGGCCTGGGAAGGCTTGCCTGGGAGAGCGGTTATGGGATGCATGTGCCCTTAGCTGGGGCCTGGCACATGGTAGGTAGATGCGCAGGCAAGAGAGCGAGCATGCCAGCTCCAGGGATCCCAAGAATTGGCCCTGGGGCAAAGTACAGTGGGTGACATAGGACGAATCACCACTGCAGTCCTAAGTCTCATCGGAAGCTGGGTTTTTGTGCCTCCACGTGACTCCCAGGCTCCCGCCGCAAACAGCTTCTTCTGTCTGTTGTGTTGTTTTTTTTTTGAGTCGGAGTCTCACTCTGTCGCCCAGACTGGAGTGCAGCGGCCGCTCCCGGCCACCGCAGCCTCGACCTGCTGCGCTCTGGCGATCTTTCCGCCTCCGCCTTCCAAGTAGCCAGAGTTACAGGCATGCGCTACCATGCCTGGCTGATTTTTTTATTTATTGTAGAGATGAGGTCTCGCTGCCCAGGCAGGTCTTGAACCTGCGGGCTCAGGCCATCCACTCACCTCAGCCTCCCAAAGGCGCGGGATGACAGGCTGAGCCACCGAGCCTGGCTTGTCGTGTTTTCCCTTCCTTTTCTCATTATGCCCGGAGACTCTGACTAGATCCAGAGACAAAGCATCAATGAACTCAAACAACCTTTAGAACGTTTATGAGCCTTCTAGAGAAGAACTCACAGGGCTTGATTGCGGCTGAGATGGCGGCTGAGCGGAGGGACTGTGAGAGAAGGGAGAACTAACAGCCTGGTCTTGTGGGACAAAGGTGTTTTGGCGTGGCCAGCAAATGGGAAAGTTTCCATTGACATCCTGACTTCTAGTATTTTTTGGTGAAAGTGAGACGATGAGACAAGTCTGGTCCACATTCCCTCATGGCAGGCATCTGGTGAAGCAAAGCAGGAGCTAACATCTTAGACGGCACAGCTCTCTTGGGCTCGGCAGTAGTATGCCAATGCTACAAATAATCTATAACAATATACGGAGGTTAAAATCAATTGGAATCCCTCAAATTCCATATAACAATCGCATGCATATTTTTATGGTTACACACATGCATACAATTTGACAAGAGTCATAGATATTCTTTTAAAAACTCAGACAATTTTTTATACAGTTTTTTTTTTTTTTTGCATCTTTCTTACTTCCTTCCTCCTCCACTGAGCACCACATTTAAAAATACGGTGTAATATCTGCCACACTACATTAAGTAGATCACTGCATCTACATTCAGTCTGAGCACTGGTTTCTGTGTGTCACCCTCCATGCGTGACGGCTTCTCTTACCCTGAGCAAACTGCACTCTTTACATCCTCGGGGGCTGCCAGACCAGACAAGGTCTGTCTGCATATCAGAAAGGTAGTTCTAGAAGCAGAAGGAATTGTTGCTGGAAGAGGGACAGATGAAAGGAAAGAGAAGGATTAAACTTGAAGTAGAAAGAACAGCTAAGCAGCTGTTACAAGCGTTCAAGCCAGGCATTATGAAGGCTCAAACTAGGCAGTAGCCCAAGGGGATGGCGAGAGGACAGATTCCAGAGATACGTCAGGGATAAAATCGGATGAGCTGGTGACCGAACCTCAGGAGTGAAAGAAGGAAGGGGAGGCTTTCAGGCCTCAAAACAAGCCAAGGCCATGTTCAAGGATATTTATTGCAACCATTTTCATATAATAGAAAAGTGGAAGTCAAGTAGTTGAATATACTGTGGTGCTCCATCCTCTGGGACATGATGTTACTTGCTGTCATCAGCGTGAAGTCGCACGCAAGCCAGCTGCATTGGAGAGCACTCCTCAGACTATCACTGAGTGAAATGCACTGAGGAACATAAATAGATGATCCCATTAATAGAAAAGCAACAACCGAGAAGCTTAAACATGGGTGTGGGTGTGGATGTATATACATACGTGTGTGTGTGTGTGTGTGTGTGTGTGTGTGTGTGTGTGTGTGTATTTGATTAGGATTATATAAATAAACGAAAAAGCATGACAAATATTGCACAGTATTTTTAAAGGTGGCGCTCAGTGGAGGAGAAAGGAAGTAGGAAGGAAGCAAAATAATCGATATTTTAAAAATTGCCTTTGAGTTTTTTAAAGAATGTCTAGGACTCTACTTTTGCCAAATTGCATATGTATGTGTAACTAAAAAAAATGCGTGAGACTGTTATATGGAATTTGAAGGATTCTAATTGATTTTAATTTTCTTATATTGTTATAGATTATTTGTAAAATTGGTATAAAACCCACACAGTAGTGTGGACTTAAAACTGCTTTTAAAATTTAAGTTTATTAATTTAAAAAACACAACAAGCCCGGGTGTAGTGACTCACGTCTGCAATCCCAGCACTTTGGGAGGCTGAGGTGGGTGGATTGTTTGAACCCAGGAGTTCGAGACCAGCCTGGGCAACATAGTGAAACCTCTTCTCTACAAAAAAATCTTTAGAATTAGCTGGGCATAGTAGCACGCACCTTGTAGTCCCAGCTGCACAGATGCTGAGGTGGCAGTATCGCTCAAGCCCACGGAGGTCAAGGCTGCCATGAGCTGTGACTGTCGTGATCGTGCCACGGCACTCCAGCCTGGGTGACAGAGTGAGACCCTGACTCAAAAAAAAAGTGAAATAAAATAAATAAAACCTTCCAAAAAAACACGCTAAATGTATTTTCACAGCAGACAACACAAGCCAGGTATAGTTTTTCAGTCAATTCAACATTCCTCTCATAATAGGCCTAAGCCTGCTTCAGCTACTTACCAGCTGGGTGGATTTGGGCGATTGACTTGATTTTTCTCTCAGCCTTCTTATTTGAAAAATGAGAGTGATCATTTCCACCCTGAAAGGTTTTTTGTTAGAATCCAGTTAAAGAACATCTATAAAGTGGCTGACCCGTGGTAGGTCCTCCACAAATGGCAGCTGCTTTTCAACACCACCCTCCACACCTGCTGCCGGGTGGCACGGTTGGTGATTGCAGCCATGGCCGTGAGTTCCCCCGCACATCCACGGCACTCTTCAGTTCCAGGGATAACAGCCTCCTCCCTTTTCTCTCAACTGTGATCAGTTGCTAGAGGCCAGGAGTGAATTCTGGGCTGCCGCCCAGTGAGCAGGCATCAGGGCTCACGGGCAGTTTCTTCTTCATCCTATTTTTAGCTGCTCTTAGTTCAAAACTCACCATGACATGCAGAGTATGTTTTAAAACCTCCCGACCACGTTTAATTTAACCAATAAAAGCCCTTTCTGTGTAAGTTTCTGCAAGTTTTTCTTCTGCTTGTCTTGAAGGTGTGTCCATACTGTAAAGAAAAAGATTAAATAAATGGAGGATTCAGATGTGATAGTATTACGAGGTGCTAGATAATTAGCTAATGTATTTGCAGAGTCGCTCCCTCCTCCCTGTCCCACAAATTTAATATAAACCATTTGTGCTTTTGACACAGACATGGTCAAATCGCTTTGAAAGAACTAAAATCACCATATATTTGCATATTTTTTCAGTGTCTGTACTCCTAGAGAAACCAGACATGTTTCAGGTAAAGCTGTACTATGTTGACACTAAAGTTGCTTGAGGTATTTCCACCTTTATTTTTAGCCAAGAAATTCCACATAAGACTGGATAAAACTTAGCCATTTGATTTGCTGAATTCTCTGTTTTATTTCTAACTATATCACGGATATTGGGGAGATGTATAAATACATTTACAAATGTAAATCTAAATCACTTGAAGATTTCCTTAAAGGCTGGCACCTTAAAGCTCGAGACTGTGCTATCCTAGATCTTTTCAAAATACTCTGGGGGCCGGGCATGGGGTAGCTCATGTCTGTAATCCCAGCACTTTGGAGGCCAAGACAGGAGTCTCACTTGAGCCCAAGAGTTAGAGACCAGCCTGAGCAACATAGTAATACCTTGTCTCTACAAAGAAGCAAAAGGTTAGACTGGCATAGCGGCACATGCCTGAGCCGTCCCGACTACTCAGTAGGCTGAGGCAGAAGGATTGCCTGAGACCAGGAGGCTGAGACTGTGGTGAGCCAGGACTGCCACTGCACTCCAGCCTGGATGACAGAGTGAGACTCCCCCAGCTCAGCAACAACAAAAAAAAAACTTTGGGGACTTCTTGAATTACTTTTCACATTTTATTTGTGTAGACACTTTTGAACAGCGTTTCCTTTTTTGTGTATCTAAATTATGCTTTAATCTTCTTCAAACAACAGAGCATTTTCCAACATTGTAGAAAACAAACCTTCAGAGATGGCCACTTATGGGAAAAATTCGATTCAGTTTTGCTTACCATAATTAATATATGGACAGAAACCAACATTGGCACGTTGGCGTGGATGATTCCTTGCTGCAGGGGCTGGCCTGTGTGGCGCAGGGTGTTCAGCAGGGTCGCTAGCTTCTACCTGCTGGATACCAACAGCACAATCCCCCGTCTCCCAGTTGTGGCAACCAAAACTGTCTCACATAGGCATCACCGAACGTTCCTCGAGGAACAAAATGGCCCCCACTTGAGCCCCATTCAATGTCTTAGACACTTTGACACAGGGAATTTTATTTACTCTTCAGAACAGAGACTATGAACGTTTGAGGAATTTCCTCATCATGTGGTGGGTTAGTGAACGGGTTGCTGGGATTCAAATTCCAGCTGGAATAATTCCACAGCTCCACCTCGGTTAGAGAACGTGCTGGAAAAAAAAGAGAAGAGAATGAGAAAGCCAACAGAGGTTCAACTTTCCTAAAACTAAGTTTACTCTGAGTACTCTTCCATCCTAATACTTTTCCACATCCTCAAGTCCCATTCTCATCCTCAAGACATGCTTGTAGCTGCCAGCAGCTCCCAGCCCTTCCCTCCAACAAATACTTCATTTTTCCCTAAGAGATCAAAGCTGTTGGACACAAGTATTTTGAGGGTTTTTTTGTCTTCATCCAAAATCCTTCCAGCAGCTAACCATCCTTTACTGTCCTTGTTTCTAAGGCTACCTCTCTCCCTGTGTCCTGTGTCATGTCCCCTCCCTTCCCTCTGACCTTGCCCCGAAATTGTCCCTATTACAAATCTTCAGTTCTTCCCTAAGCCTGAGGACATGCTTATCCCACTATGATGATTAATTTTATGTGTCAACGTGGTTAAGCCTTGCTATCCAGATCTTTGGTCAAACATTATTCTAGATATTTCTGTGAAGGTATTTTTTTAGGTGAGGTTAACATTTAAATCAGTAGACTTTGAGTAAAGCTGGTTACCTTCTGTGATGTGGGTGGGTCACATCCAATAAGTTGAAGGACTTAATAGAAAAAACTGACCTCCTTGAAGGAACAGGAAATTCTGCTGGTAGACTGCCTTTGAACTTAAGCTGCTACCCCACCCTGAATCTCCAACATTCTGGCCTACCCTGAAGATTCTGGACTGGCCAGCCTGTATAATCGCACGAGTCAATTCCTGAAAATAAATCTCTTTATATTGTGTATACATTCTATTAGCTCATTTTTTCTACAGAACCTTCCTCAAAAATCTTTCTCCTGAAGCTGCCTTGCATCTTGGCTTATATGCCCTTTCTCCATGAAATTGGCTCTACTAACCTCACTCCTTCCTCTGCTTGTATTGATTTTACTGCCTTCATGAGACCATATTTTCAATGCTGGAATTCTGCATTATGAGGACAAGGACCTTATTATTTTGTTTTTACGCTTCCCAAAGTGGCTAGCACAATAACTTGAGATAGTAGATAATTCTGCTTATTCATCTGAAATGTTACACTCTTTTCTAAATAGTGGTGTAAGTCATTGAAATGAAAAAATGCATCAATAAACATTTCCTTTTGATATTTCTGGATGTAGATCTTGATCTTGAAATTTGTTTATTAAAAACATGCCTGTAATTCTGGCTACTTGGAAGGCTGAAGCGGAAGGATCACTGGAGCCCAGCAGGTTGAAGCTGCGGTGGCCGGGAGCGGCCACTGCACTCCAGTCTGGGCGACAGAGTGAGACTCCAACTCAAAAAAAAAAAAAAAAAACCTGTTCTGGGAAATTTAATCCTCTTTTCTCTCAAAAAATGTTTTTTCAGAGTTGCAATCAAAGAGCAACTCCTAAAAATCGACCTTCCATACCACCCCACAGTCTCCCCACTGGGGATATACCCAGAAGAGCTCAAATCACTCTATGAGAAAGATACCTGCACATGCATGTTTATTGCAGCATTATTCACAATAGCAAAAGCATGGAACCAACCATGCTGCCCATCAAAAGAAGACTGGATTTAAAAAATGTGGTACATATACACGATGAGCTATTACACAGCCATAAAGAAGGACAAAATTATGAGCCTCACAACAACTTGGATAGACTTAGAGCCTATAATACTGAATGATCTATCACAGAAACAAAGAACTGAGTACCACATGTTCTCACTCATAAGTGGACCTTGAACAATTATCAGAATACTATAAGAAAGGGATTGGTACCGGGCTCGGCGGCTCAGCCTGCATAATGGTGAATGTAATACCGCGCCTTTGGGAGGCTGAGGTGAGTGGATTGCCTGAGCCCGCGGGTTTGAGACCTGCCTGGGCAGCGAGACCTCATCTCTACAATAAATCAAAACATCAGCCGGGCGTGGTAGCGCATGCCTGTAATTCCGACTACTCGGAAGGCTGAGGTGGAAGGATCGCCGGAGCCCAGCAGGTCGAGGCTGCAGTGGCCGGGAGTGGCCACTGCACTCCAGTCTGGGCGACAGAGTGAGACTCCAACTCAAAAAAAAAAAAAGGGATTGGTAGTAGTGGGAAACTGCCAGGGGAGGGGAGGGACATACCTCATCAACAAGGGCAACTGCATAATGAACATTTGTGTACCTAACCCTGAATTGCACCCCACATCTTAAAAAAATTTTTTTTTTTAAATGAGCGATTCCAATGCAAAAACCTGTAATTTTGTTTATGGAACTTCAAGAGGAATCATATGCCAAATGTATGTGGTGGTAGACACGGGTGAAGTGGCAGACACACATTTTTTAAATTTACCTATAAATTCAATGCCTGTGTCCCTCCCCATAATACCTAGTCCATAAAAAATTAGAACATTAGGGGGAAAATTGAACTACTTATGTGTTTAATCAGATTTTTTAAGTTAATAGGGAAAAGAGAAAAAGCAGTCGCGTTCAGAGAAGGAGTACTTTTGATGTTAGTGAAAACAGTTATATTTAACGGAATTTTTTGCCTTTAGGCTAAAAACCAGAAAGTGAGTTTTAAAATAGAAACAGATGAGCATTATAAAAAAGGTGCCCACAACACCAAAGTTACTACAAATCAAATCACTTTCATTTTCATATTTGTCTTTAATTCTACAGTCCTTGCCCATAGAGATTTATAATTTTCCCAAATTTTATTTTAAAATATCCCAAACACCCATTTTTCTATCCATGTTATTTTTTAAATATATTTCAAAGTAAGTTGCAGACATCAGTGTACTTCATCACAACCAAGTAGAACTAATTCTAAGGAAAGAGGCTGTTCAATATTAAAAAATCAGGTAATATAATGCATCACATCAACAGGCTGAAGGAGAAAAATCATATTGACCATATCAATAGAAGCAGGAAAAGCATTTACAAAATCCCACACTCATTCATTATAAAAACTTACGGCAAACTAGGAATAGAGCAGAACTTCCTTAACTTAACAAAAAGCATCTACAAAAACCATACAGGTAAAATCATACTTAATGGGGAGAAACTAGACTTTTTCCTCCTAAAACTGAGAACAAGTTAAAGGTTTCCTCTCTGATTCCTCTTTCCTGTTCAATTTCTTTGTTTTTTTTTTTTTTTGAGTTGGAGTCACACTCTGTCGCCCAGACTGGAGTGCAGTGGCCGCTCCCGGCCACCGCAGCCTTGACCTACTGGGCTCTGGCGATCCTTCCGCCTCAGCCTTCCGAGTAACCAGAATTACAGGTGCACGCTA